CCTAAACAAGGTACTTGGAAAATTGGACTTTACAATTCACTTAGACTACAGTCCCTTTTTCAAATACACAGCCTAAACACAACCTTAGTGACTGGACTTTATTGTGTGTTATGGTTCAGTCTGCAAAATGACATACACAGAGTTATTCATGTTAAAGCATGATTGTAGCTTTCTTTGTCTCTGATTAAATCTGTATCACCAGCATTATTGGATGACATAGTTTCTTAAGTAATTTGCAGAAGAACTCTGTGATAAAAAGCTGCTGAAAATTTTGGAAGAAAATAGAATCAAAGATGGTAAGGAAGAGAGATAATTATATACAAAACCTCAACCATAGGGTTTGTTTGAGAGCTATATCCAAACATCGGAGAAAAGAGCATAAGATTCAAATATGAAATAAACCTAACATCCATTCTTTCCATTATAAAGAGTTTGTTTATAAGGATTAAAATTCTTCTGTCCTCAAGTTACATGTAATACTAGCCACTGATTTGACCTGGTATTAAAGAGACTAAGATGACATTAGCCTGCCCTTAAACCCTTGACTTTAAATTATTGCATCACCAAATCATCTGCTGCTCTAGAATAATTTTCAAAATTTTTCTAATCTAGAAAGGAACAGAAAAAGCCACTGTATCTTCCTATCTATTGCTGCTTCTGCCTGCATCATGAGCTGTCCAGGTTGATGTATATTTAAATGATAAAAGAAAACATTTGAGCCGCTTTAAAAGATTATGGTAAACTGATACGGTTAGGAATGTGAGGAATTGAACTACTGCTTCAATAGTATAAATGTAAGACGAATGCTCTGAAAGGAAGTATTGCTTGGATTATGGAAAAAAAAAAAAAGCACTTGAAGTTTGGAATTTCATGCTTTTAGGAGAGAGATAAGATTTTTTAGTGGGGTTAATGATAAGGTAGATTTGTTTTTCTGTTTGTGATGTTTTGAGATATCATATTTCATTCCGAGACTTTTTCAATCTAGCATGCATGTTAATGTAAGTGTTCTCGTGAGCATTTCTATCTGCATTGTAGGATTTCCTACAATAATTGTGAAGAATCATCTTTTGAAAATTTAAAATTTGTAAATTTACTTTTAAGAGATTGAGAAAGGGCTTCAATTGGAAATGCAGAGTGCCATCTAGATATTTACATGTTAAATGTCTTAGAATCTTCAGGTTTTTACATTGTATAAGAGGTCTTCTAACCGCTTTCTGAATTGCTTGGCATATTTTAAAGCACTTTTCTGATCTTCAAGCATTTTTCCTTTGTTCTCTAACAGCTAGTCATCAAAGAACAATAGTTGTTGTATGATTTCAATTACTTGTGAGTTTATGAAGGATGCTTGTTTATCAGATATTTTGGTGGTCTTCAATAAGTATTCAGCTGCTCAGCTTAGTTCGCTGCTTGGAAAGTTAGCATGGGCTGCTAACATACTAATGAAATTGGTTGCTAATAACTGCAATTTCTGTTATTTTTGGTGCAATATAACGACTTTCACCTTGTGAAGTGGATGATATAGGGGTAGTGATCAACACCCTTCCCACTTTGCCCTCTTTTTCTTGGTGCATTTGCTGTATGGGAGAATGATGATCGATACCCTTTAACATGACAATGTCTTACGGAATATGAGCCCCATTATTGTACCACATACTGGTATTATTCTCCCACTCTAGTGTCCGTATGGATGATATAGGCAACACACAAAAGGCTTGTGAATACAAATTAAATCCCTTGCCCTATTTAAATGTTAGATTGACTAAAAATGTCCAGGACATTGTAACTGACTGAATCTGATGCTTTTAGAACATGCTTGTTTTACTTTTCTTTGGCTCTAGATGTAACAGTTGCATGGTTATAAATGCTTAATTGACTTCTAGGCAAAATGGTTGCTCATCCGTTTTCTGCTTGTTTTTGCAGTCTGTGATCCGAAAAGCCTCCTCTTCTTATTTGGGATGCAGTTGGACTACAGTGATGCTCTTATCGGTGGAGGTTTCTCTTTCAAGAACCCTAATGCTACCCAGACCTGTGGTTGTGGTAAATCGTTTGCAGCGGAGATGTGAAATTATATGTACAAAGACAGTTGAATAGATAGTAATAGTCATCCATTATATGTATTACAACCTACAAATTGTGTCTGTAGTCTTTCAAGTTTCAATGACTTGATATTTCTAGTGCCTTTCATACCATCTTTTCCCTCTTTTAGAAGAAAGTGCCTTTCATATCTGTGTGTTCTGGCGCATTATGCATTTAACTACCTAGCAGATGGAGAGAGGTATCATGAGCATTACAAAAGATATGGGAATAAGAGATAGTAATAAAGAAAAAGCAAAGGGCAGTGTTCGTTTCATGCTCAAGTCTTTTGGTCTCTCAAATCTTCTCCTTGGTTTTTAGCTAGAGGGATGCATTCAAAATCTTCCTTGAATTGTTTCAAGGAGAGGTGCCATGTACCCACAATGAATTCGAGATCAAGCGATGATGGAATGGTAAAGAAGATATGATATTGTATTCGTATTTATTTATTTTATATTTAATATATATAAAATATAAAATTATTTGTCATAATTTATTTAGATATGATGAATACTAAATATATATATTTTTTATTTTTGTCAATATATATATATATATAATGAGTTTTGCTAAAATTTTAAATAATCTTTTGTTTCTATTTTTTTTTTTATAAATTGTAATTTTTTTTTATCCAAAGTAAGCAGATTTACTCTAAAATGCAACGAATGCAACAATTCAACATTCTTTACAAGGTATCAATGAATATCAGTTGGCTAAAATATAAAAAAAATTCTTAAACTATTTTACTTTTTTTAAATAAGTTAGTATATTTTTATTGCATCTAAATAAACTCTCATTATAAACATTTAATTTTGTTTGAAATAATTTGATCTTGTTCTATTTTTATTTTTGATTCGATCATACCAATATGGACCGATTCAAACATCTTAATTTAATTAGATTCATTTTGGTTCTGTTTTAAATTAAATATTTTTGGATTATTTTGTATAAGTTAAAGTTCAATCTAATTTAAGTTTAGATCAATTGCACTTGTAGGTCCAATAAGAGTTCAAGTCAATTTTTAAAGCTCAAAATCTAGTTGTGAACCCAAATTCAATTTTAAGATCTAATTTCATTGAAATTTTGATTAATTAAAAACATAACATTACCCAAAAAATTTCAAAAATAAAAAAGAAAAACCTAGAGGGTCGGCTGCCATAGTGCCATGGCAGCAACCTCCCCTTTCGCTTATTCCCAATCCCACTTTCCCTTCCCCCGATTTGCCAACTACATTTTCACCTCACCAATTTCACATTCCATTTTCACCTATGGCATTATAGCATATATCCTTCTGGGTTCATAAACCGAAATGCAGCAAATGTTGCTACAATAATAGCAAAAAAATCTCATACCTTTACGGACCAAATTGAATTCTCAACAGAGGCAAGTAAAAGGATCTTGGTCTTTGTTTCTTAATAAAATCATAGAGATGATTCACAAGAATAAGGGGTAAATGTGGAAGGAATTGAAACTTGAAAAGCAAAAGAAACTATCTGCATCCACAACCTAAGACTACTATCTATGCCATCCATCACCATTCTCACCAACACAAAAAAAAAAAATCATCCATCTGTGTTCAAGCCCAAATAGGTCCATTGGTGTTCAAGCCCAAGTAAGCCCAATGGGTTTGATTGGGCTCATTGACATTCGAGCCCAATTAGACCCATCCTTGTCCAAGTCCAATTAAATAGTTTTTTTAAGTTGTTGTTGTTATTATTATTATTATTATTATTATTTTATTTTTCATTGTTTGAGTTCCTTTTCTTTCTTCACCACTTTCCTTTTTTGATCCAACTCACACGTGCACAAAGGATGAAATTGGGATTAGAATCCTTTGATCAAACACAGAATTGTATCAACTGGAATTTTGGACCTAAGAATCGCGCTGGACAAAATGTAATCCTAGGATTCAAGCTTTGGATTGATTCTGTCCGTTTCCTAAAATTATTCCTAAGATTGCTTATAAATGGGACTAATTCTACACAGAAACACAGAAAATGGTAGAAAATTATTGAGAAAATTTTGGGAAATTCTAGGCAGAAAGGGTTTTGGGAGGTTAATTATGAGATTTTGGGTTTAATTTGTAGTTCTTGGTGTGATTTTAGGTTTTTGGAGGTCAATTTAGGGTTGCAAAAGGTTTTGGATAGGAATTGAAGCTTTCTAGGATTTTTTTTGGGTTTAGGAAGAATTTTGAATTTTTCAGTTGAAATTTTCGATGAATTTAAATTTTTCAACAAAGTTTTCGATGATCAGTTGAATTTTTCAAACATATTCCAACCAACTTTCTAGAAACCGATAGGTTCTCAGTTTCTAGTTGAATTTCATTGCAACTTTTCCATAAACCGATGAAATTTCGATCCTCAGTTGAAGTTTTCGGTAGGCATTTATAGAGAGAAGAGAGAGTTTACGGTTTAGAGAGAGAGGGGCTCGGGTGCATCTGAAGAAAAACACTGAAAGGTGCCATTTACACCGACCTAGAACAACATTGTTTTGGAAAGCCTTGACCCGCGGGTGACCGACCAAGATTCGCGCGTTGACCTTGGTACCGACCCGACCCGATCGCAGGTTTTCCTTTTTCCATTTTATTTTTTGATTTGATTTGATTTTTATTTTTTTAATCCATTTTTTAATTATTTTTTAGTTTTATTTTAAAAAAATAAAAAGAATTATTTTTGCTACTAGTATTTCTGAAAGAAATACTAAGAAAAAAATAATTCTACAAAAAAAAGTTCTACAAAAAACAGAAATAATAATAATAATAATAATAATAATAATAATAATAATAATAATAATAATAATAACCTTTCAATACAATAAAAATATATTTTCAAATAAACAAAAATAATTTTTATCCTTTAAACTATTTGAAGATTACTTTAAAGTGAGCTCTACCAAACTATTGAAAGCCTTTACTAATTTTTTTACAATAAAAATTAATAAATTCGATGACAGAATCTCTTTAGGGTGGAACACTAGTCTTTATGAATACTCTTGAGGTGAAAGAATTATCATAAATTACTATCAAACTATTGAGAAAATTTTATGGTTAATTTTCAATATTAAATTATTTAGTAAATAATAAAAATAGTTAAGGCTTGGATAATTCGAAATTAAACTGGTACCATCCTTTAGGTAGGTGTTATAGGGGAGCTACAACCTTCCCCATGCGTAACCGACTCCCTAACCTAACGTCTATTTTACAGATTACATTCAATCAGGTGTCTAATCACATCTAAATAAAAAAGATTAGCGACGACTCTTCTAATCCATGTCTAGCTGTAGGTTTACGAATTTATAAGTTATGATAATTTGGCGACTCCACTAGGGATATTGAGAGTCAAGCCAGTAAATGACTTATTATTATCTAAGCCTTGTTTAATAAATTTGGAATTATTCCCTTTTATTGCTTATATCTATTTTATTATTTATTTTCCTTGTATATACTTGCTTATTTATTTGTTCATATTTGCTTGATTATTACTTATTATTTACATATACTTGTCATTTATTTACATGTGCATAACATAAGCCCTCCACCCGGGCTCTACCCTTAGAAAGGAGTGAAGTACCTATGTCTTCGTGAGATCTCATGTCTTCGTATGGGCCTACCAAACACTTTCATTCAGATTGAATCATTTTCGCTTGTAGCCTATGATGGGTGAAGATTAGGATGCCTTACTAGTCTGTAATGGACCATGATGTAGGGAATATTTGAGAACCATAAAGAATTAACCCAAATCGCATATAGTCAACCTTAAGAGCCTAACCATAGATAAAGCTTTATTTTCCTACCCTTTGTAGACAATCCAAAATTTAAGGTCATGTTATTTTTTTACTTGCTATGTAATGTTTATTCTATGTTTTATTGAAGTGACTAACTAATCGTTTTGTCTTCTTGTATTTCTTTTCTTTTTGTGCACATTCATAAACATGTTTATAGATTTCATAGTATTCTTGCCTCAAAGCTATTTCAACAAAAGTCTTCATGAATTCTACAAAACTTCAGGTTTGCACCTCATCTACGCTGTTTAAGTGTGACTTTTCCATAGATGTGAGGATGGAATAAAAAAAGAGGTAGCTAGAAGAATGAGATTATTTGCCACCTAGTTATATCCCCTACACTATTAGGAAAAGTCCATCTACTCCTCAAACATAATGATATGAAAAGCCTATAAAATATATGGAATAGTATGATACTCTTAAGGCGGGAGGCTTTTTGTGAGAAATTTGGGCATATTACATATCTCATGTTAGTGGAGGTTGACCATTCACTTATCAAGGTGACGGTATAGTTTTGGGATCCTTCTTACCGATGTTTTATCTTTAATGAGGTTGATCTAGTACTAACAATAAAGGAGTATTCAACCCTAGTGGATATGTATCTACTGTATTCAGATAGAATATATATAAAGAAACATAAATCAAAAAGTCGCAAGAAGTTAGGTTAAATTCTAGGAGTGGGAAATGAGGTCATAGACTCATACATTTGAGAGAAAGGAGATCACAAGGGCATTCTATAGGAGATTCTCTGAGATTTCATTACTAAGCATCAAGATGATGATCAGGGGATGAGTGCATTTGCTTTAGCCATATATGGGTTGGTTATTTTCCCCAAGGTCTTAGGCCACATTGAGATAGAAGTGGTGGATTTATTTAAGCAGATTGAAAGGGGATGTAATCTTTCTCCAGCTATCTTGGCAAAAATCATCAGATCTTTAAATTTCTATAAGTAGAATGATAAGGCATGTTTCATGGGTTGTATAGCCTTATTATATGTATGGATGAAGAGCCATTTCGAATGCAAGAAAAGTGTTTTTACTAAACTTTATTTCTACACTTAAAGTTCGATTAGAGAGTTTTGTCAGAGTATTTGGCCAGAAGCAAAGACTCAGAAGGAGTGGAGGTATCTGCTACAAAGGCTCACAGTTGGACAAGTAAAATGGTTAGCTTCGTGGATGGACAAGAAACCTATGTTATATCAATGTAGAGATAAGACAAGGGTCCCACTTTTATGTCTATAGAGGTCAATGAGTTATGCACCATTGATGGTAAGAAAACAGCATGGTGCCGAATAGTTTACTCCTATGACCTATAATCTCAATTAATTTAACTGTTC